CTTGCCAATATCTACATAAATGAGTTTTTCAGGAGGTTCTTCACATACATACCAGTTATCAACTGTTTCTATTTTTTTCCCAACTGCAAGTACTAAATGCTGGTTCTTGTGAAAGGGATACTTTTGCTGTACCTGCCCTTTGCTGCATGTTCTTCCTGAATATCTTGAGAAGATATCTTTTTATCTAGGGAAGAACAAGATAAAAAGTTTGCAAGATAAAAAAATATATTGCTATAGCAGCCATACACTGCCTCCCAATACACTTTAAATACAATTATTAAAATACTTCCATCATATGCTTGTGTGGCTGGAATAGTTTGACATTGAGGGAACAGCCGGCAGAACAGCACATCATGGCTGGTGAACTCCTTTACAAATGTACACTGTTAAATTTCAAAGAGGGTCAACGTTTGAATAAGGTCAGATCATGAGTTGTCGGGACGTGTTTCATGTACACAGGGTGCTGCTGGTTAACTTTAACTGCATTGTATTATTGGATATTTTATTGTAAGTAATTTATGTAAATATTTATCTGTGTCTAAACATGTATACTTATGTATTCAATGAAGTGACTGAAATCAGTATTTAAATAATGAAATGTTTTAATTACATTTTAATCACTGCTGTAAAAAACATGGAGCACAGTGTGAGACTGACTGCTGACCTCTTCTCCATTCAGAGTCGCCATTTTAATCAGCACTGGCATGAAATTACTCTTTATCACAACACTTTTATATGGCTACATATGTTAAAATCCAATTAATCACATTTTTATGGTTCAACTACCAAAAAACCCTCTTTTCCTCAAAAGCCAATTAAAATATGCAAAAGTGCAATCCTTTAATTTTCTCATAAAAATGTAAATGAATCATAATTAGAATCAGAGGAATTATTTAAGAATGGAAAATAAAACTTCATGTCCTCATGAAATTATAAAGCAATGACATCTCTGTGCAAGGAAAAGTAACACATGTACATTAAATAAACCATTACACAACGTGGATGATAACTCTATCAGGGTAGCATGAGTTAAATCATGAGGCTAACTTGAGTTGATCGTGTCGTCCTAGTCAAGGGGTGTGGTCTAAAGTGGTTATGTGAGACTATAAACTCCCAATTACTTTAGGGGGGTCTATGTAGCAGTGACAGGTGCCAGAATAGGATGTGATGTGATGTGATGTGGTATGGTACACTATGAAACAACAGAATATGATGTGATAGGATACAATACAACACAATTCGTTACAATAGAATACATGATGACACAATACGATCAGTGGCGGTTCTAGACCACTTTTACTGAGGGGGCCAATCTGGGGCCAGTTGTTTTGTCAGAGGGGAACATTAAACACAGGTCAAAAATAGACAAAGCTTTAAAAATATATATTAAATACCATGATTTATGTTTGTTTCAGTAACAGTATTTAATACTAGATTGTGAGTCCGGTTGTTAAGTCAAATACTGTGCATGTGTTATTAGGGGGGCTCTTCCTTTTGGAGGGGTGGCCACAGGGCGGACCAAGCTCAGTGTTACAGGGGCACTGGTCCCTGTTGGCCCCTGCCTAGAACCTCCCATGAATACGATAAGATTTATATCAATCAATCAATTTTTATTTGTATAGCGTCAACTCATAACAAGTGACACTTTACAAAATGTATGATAAGACAAGAGAAGTAATGATACAATATGATGTGATGCAATCAGACACAATGTGATGTTGTATGATATAAAACGGTATGATACGAAAAGAAACCATATGAAACCATACATTACAATATGATACAATATGCTATGCTTCATTATACTCTTAGGGAACAGATGCAGCCCACATTCGGCTGTCTCATCTGTCTTATTGAAATATTAAGAAATAAGGAACAATTAAACCAATCAACAATCAACATTAAATTAATTCAACTTTAGTCTCACTTATGTTTGAAAGAATAAATGTTCATGATCTTTGTCTTTGTAGAACTAAAGTTGACATTACATAATATGGAGGTACCTGAATTGTCAATGTTTAATAATTAATCTGAATGATTCCTTTGCAATTTTATTTGTTTTGAGTTTTTTGGTTTTGTTCAATCTTGGGTGAAACCAACCGTGATTTTGAGTCATAATAATGTCACTTATAAATCTCTTAGATTTTGACAAGAGTTTTAAAAACCTGATAATAATAATTGGGTTGTTTACTTTTGCAGGAAGAACTATCAATCAGATTATATCAAGCCACAGCCAGTCAATATGCTTTTAATTAATATGTTTATCATTTCAATTTGACTTATCCACATTTGGTGATTAATATTCACAAACCTGAACTTCTCTAAAATAAGATGCCACAACATTTTCAGGCCGCACATAACTGTCCTTCATCGAGTGCAGAAAAGCATTTGACTTCAGGGATTAGATTGATGCCACAGCGTGTCGGTCATTTTATTTCTAAAAGACTCAGTGTAACCTGCTACACAAAGCTCAGGCGACTACAGTATATTATTATTTCTCATTTAATGTGAGGGTATAAACCTTGATCTTTCAGGATCACTTTTATATCTGACATTATCGCATATCATAAAGATATAAAGATTATAAAGATCATCATTACCTTGGAAATCGATTACATTAAAACTGTTTACCTCAATGTCGTCGTATTAGATTTCCTTTGGATCTTTTAACTTTAATATGATTATTGACATAAATGAAAAAATACATTTTATCCAGTCAAGTGTGTCAAGATTTAAAAATGTAGACATTTTTCACACTCAAACAAACTGTGTTGACTCAGTTTTGGTCTATACATCACTAAAAACTCTGGGTTACCCAGAACTTTTTTTCCCATGATACTGTTGGGTAATTTACACATATTTGTTATAAACTTTGACTGAAACCTCAAAGTGTCACAAATGTAAGTCAGTTGTGAAAATGATTTTGTATGACTCTCATGACTAAAAAAGAAAGACATCATTATCACGTTCAGTTCCCCACAGAGACTGATAAGTCAAAGAAGAGATGCTATGGTTCACAGTCACATTGTATTTTAGTTTGGAGTTTTGAACACAAATATATCAGCTGCTCTCACCCTTTGTACCGAGGAACCATTGGGCCAGTGTTGTGGAGACCCACATCTCATTTGACCCATTGATTTTAAAGGTTTATAGATGTACTGATATAGAGGGGTTAACACCATGCAACTCTAATAAAAATGTTTAATCTACTTATAACGGTATCAATGAGTGTTTTAAAAAAATAGTTAATATTCTAAGTAGCAGAACGTGAACACTGATTATAATAAGTGTTAGTCAATTGCAGCAACATAAAGAAGTATATATATATATATATATATATATATATATATATATATATATATATATATATATAGTGTATATCACTGAAGAGAATGTCATCCAGAGGGAGATTACCAAAAACGATCATTTTATCTGCAAATATGCTTCTACACTTTATTTCACTAATACGTTCTATCTATCCAATGGTAGATATTTAATAATTAAATGTTTTAAATAGACAGACATTTATAAAATGAGCATCTGAAAATGGTAATCCACTCATTCTTTTTGGGAAATATTCTTAAACTAAAACAGATATTGTGTCTTTTCTATTAACGATAAGGCGCCTTCAAGAGTTAGAGAAAATGGACTCGAACAAAGCCGAACAATGTCTTTGTGCAGTCTACATTTAACTTATCCATCCATGGGAATCATTTTATAATAGGATGATACAATTTGGATTAAGACGTCAGTTCAAATGATCAAATCCCTTAATACTACTTTTTTTTCTGCTCACTTTTGTGGTACATGTCAGTTAATAATCTAATAATCAATGTTGTTTCATTTTGTGAAACTGGACAGAACTCATACAGTGTCTTTTACAAACCACCAAGCAGCATGTGAACACAAGTCCATATTAAAACAAATTACAATTCACTTTCATCTTTCCGACGTCCAAATAAAATTCAACTGTAGCAGACCATTCTGGGATTTTCTTTGTTTTAAAGATACAATCAGGGGGCGTTGGTGGCACCATGGAGATATATTCCTCCAAGTGAGGGCCAGGGTTCAAGTCCCAACCGCGGCACTTTACCTGCATGTCATTCCCCACTCTCTCTGCCCGATCTCTTACTCTATACACAGTCCTATCAGATAAAGAATAAAAATATTTTTAAAAAGATACAATCTGTCATTTTTAAACCATATTAAATACATGTACTGTACCTGCACTAGAAAACATTAATAGGTGTGTTTAATTGTTGATAGGGGTTAGGGCCTTTTATTCATCATTCAATATAAGTTTATTTAAAGAAAAATTGTAGATGAACATTGCTGCATATTAAAAGAGATGCTTTTTCGTTGCTTAGTGCTTTGGTTGGGCTTAAAAATTAAACTTGTGGATGAGCAGGTTCAAATAATGTGTGTTGATGTGTGTGTTGTGTGTGTGTGTGTGTGTGTGTGTCTGACAAACGTGCACAACAATAACTTTTAAGTCAGTGGATAAAAAAAAGATCTTTAATTGACCTAATTTGATTTTAAATTTCAGGGAACTCCTCTACCCCATAAAGGAAAGCTAAAATAAAACAACTACTATATTTGCACTTTTAGGTAAAGGTTGAGCTAAAAGAGTGATACAAAAATATAAACTCTAACACTTGATCGTTTAAACATATAAAGTGTTAGAGAATGTTACATCTTCTGTTTTAAATGAACTCGTCTTTAAAGCTTGTCCCTCTTCAGAGGAAAAAAATTGTCGCTCTGTTGAACTAATGAGTCAACTTACAAAAGGGGGCGATGTTGAGGCAGAAAACTGCAGATTCAAAAGTAGCAATGATGAGCATCAAGCCATTCTCTTCATGCTGACATCTTCAGTGATTCTTCTTAAGACATCCAGACAACTGTGTCACTAACAGAAGAGGGAATGTTTCTCTCTGAAACTGAAATCCTAAATCTGATGTTTGTATCGTTGTATATTAGGTCAGATTGATTGGATGCTGAAAGTTAGTTAATTCTCTTTATTGATGAGTTACTTTAAGATTCAGAAGGATTTTATTCCCAGAAAGTCAGTTGTAGTCATGATGTGAAATGTTTGAGGAAAACAAGATAAAGTAGTGAGCAGGAAGTCATTTGACTGCACTTTGAGTGTCAGAGAAGTGATCAGTAGTACATGATGATCAGTGTAGATGTCAATTTGCTTTGTTGTTGAAGTTATTTCTAAACTCAGCTGTCCAAAATAAAGAGTTCTTAGTGAGTGTGATCCAAAGACGTCTCTGTCTTCAGCTTCAGGTTCTCCATGAAATTTCAGTGTAACAGATGAGACATTACGGTCCACCTGCTGCACACCCTGTCTCACAGAGTGATGTTCATGTTTCTCAACCCTCGACATCACTGCAGAGTCCTCAGAGGGGAAACTAAAATCTGAGACTTTGGCACAAAACAAACAGGAAAAACCTGCATTAACACATTCTGTAAGCATTCTTACAACTGAACCTGAAACTAACATCCACTGTTATATTTTCAAACCCACTTGATATTTGTCTCTTTATTTATTCATTAAAAGGTGCACATTTTCAACAAACCATCTTATTCAATTGGCCTAGTTATGTAAATATATAAAAGTAGTTAAATCTGATGTTGGCACCTTAAAGAGAATTCTCTTACTCGCTTTATGCCAGGTTTTCATTAAGGTGGCCGACAAAATTCAGTGCCTGCATAGCTTTACTCCACTACTGTAGTTATTATTTTTTTTAAACATCGCATGTAAATGTAGTAATATTTCTGTGGAGATTTTTAAAATAATTGTCATGGCAATTCAGGACATTCAGACATTTCTTCACTTCTTAAATTTAACAACGACTGCAGTAGAGAAGACCGCCAAAAAAAAGAACCAAAATAAATTTGATCATTTTTGTTCGAGCCAAAATAAAATCAATGGTTCAATTTGAGGTGAATTACTCATTTTTGAATTTCACCAACAGATGGAAACTAAAATGTAGTTTCCCCCTCCTCAATGTCACTTGACAAAACAGTGTGGATTAAATGAACTGTATTTAACTCTAAAACTTTGACAACAATTTACATGACAGGATGCGTGTCATCTTTATACTTAAAAGTAATATTTGTGACCTCAGACCTGATTGTCTCAACAATCAAACAACTGAATGATATCAAATGATTTTTCTCTGACTTGAGGAAAATGTTATAATCTTTATTCTCACACAGTATTTGGGTCATATCAACAATAGCAGATCTTTTCAAGAGCATGCTTTAAAACACCCCATATGGAGCAAAAAACGGACACTTTCATTCAACAAAAGCTATTAAATAGAATTTACAGGGGAGCGAAATCTTCCACCGAAGACAATGACCAAAACACAAGTTGAAAACTTGTCTCCTTGATATGATATAGACAGTGAATTCAAACTTATGAGCTATAACTTCTCCATGGTCCCAAATGAACTTATGAAACGTTTTATACCTATATATACACAAATGTGCTACACAGACCAGCAATGTGAGAAACTATTGTCAGGGTGTGAAATAAACCAACAAACTGAACAGTAAAGGAAGAAATCGCAGCTCACTGTGCACTAATGTAGGACTGACTGTATTGCACTAATGTGATATCTACTGTTAAAACGACAACAAGGTGTGTTACAACATATTCCTCGTGTCCTCCCTTTTCACGTGGTCGAGTGTCTTGTCGTGGCACTTGCTTTTTTTGTTCTGGTGAGTTTTCACATGTTTTGCCAAGTGGTCACTCCTCATGAACCTCTTGCAGCAGTCTGGGCATACAAAGCGCTTCTCCCCAGTGTGAGTCCTCAGGTGTCTCTGCAGCTCGTCCGACCTGGTGAAGCTCTTCCCACAGAAGAGCCAGTTGCACACAAACGGCCGCTCCCCAGAGTGCCACCTCAGGTGCGCTTTGAGGTGAGAAGTTTTCCCATAAACTTTCCCGCAGCCCGGTATGTGACAAATGTGCTGCTTCTTCTTGCCAGGCTCGTCGCTGGACGTGGAGGACTGGCAGTTCGGACACCTGCACCTCCTGCACCGTCGCGCAGTGGCGAGGGGGGACTTTGTGTGCAGCAGAGCCGCGATCTGCGTTTGGTATTGCGCAAAGTCCGTATGTCCCAGAACCAAGCCCCTCTGCAGCTGGAAGCGATGATGACCAAGGGACGTGGAGTGGGTGACATGGTTCCCCTGCTGAAGGCTCCACCACGGGATATCCTCTCCAGGGTTTGGGGACAACTGTCTCTGCTGCTGGTGGTGCACAAGGCCGGAGTGTCCTGTGACAAAAGTTGGCATCGCGGGAGGGATGGGAGTTGGCGCTGCGTAACTGACAGCGGGGACGTAGGTGGGAGGGCAGGTGGACTGCAGAGACTGCATGGAGCAAGGTAACATCTTCACGGGGGAGAAGTCATAGGGGTACGAGGGGTCCGCCGGAGGGGTGAGGGGTAGTTCGTGGTGCGAGCTGAACGAGCTCTGGATGTGCGCAGACAGCTGGGGCTTTGAGGATAGTCCGAAAGTAGAGTTGCTGGCCAAGCTGCTCTGATGGTTTCCGTCGTTAGTCCACGGGTGAAATAAGCGCGATGGGGAGCCCAGGGTCGGGTCGTAAGGAACCTGGAGGAAATCTGTGGGGTTGGATCCGTGGTGATGCCCGATCCGGTTACAAGTGGCAGCCAGGAGAGCCAGCGGAGAGTGCTTACAGTTCTCTGGAGAAGAGTTCGGAGTGCGATCCTGGATAACCGAAACATACATTTTAGAGTTAGAATCTTTATTTAACCAACTTCATGAAGTGAGAAAACACACGTAAACAATAATAATAAAACAATGGTTTGTCTAAATAGTTTGAATTGAATCTGCTCGAAATCGACCCTGTAGCGTGAGTGGAGATGTGGTGACATAAAGTTGGCATTATGTTGCAGAAGAAGTCATTAACAACGCGAATAATTAGTGTTAGTAATTAAATTATATGACACTGGACCATCAAAGTAGCGCCACTTTCTTTTCTTTTTTTTTTTTATCTTTCAGACTCGTATCCCAGACTTTGTAAATAGCCTCGGATGAGTGACTTTACAAGTTATTAAAGTCGTATAAAGTAAACAGAAACTTGCGCACAAACCTGGAGAAAAGCCTGGAGTGTTTCATTCCGCAGTACAGCCACTGCTGCCATGGTAAACGTCCTCCTCCCTCTCGATGAAATACAAAAATAACAACGCTAATTCAGATAAATGTGAACATTCGCAGTAAAAATATCGCGTCGAGCAGCTCTTCCTTCACTCCTCGGTGCCTCCTCTCTCTGAGATCTCCTTGCTCTATCTGAAGAGTGAGGGATCACTTCTTAGAATTTGATAAGGACTTTGGTGGGCCGCCAGCCAGTCAGAAATAAGATTTATTACTTTGAAGTTTGCCGCTGCCCAATCATCAAAGAATAGCGGCTCTTTGAGAGGGGAAAGCAAATCCTTTGAATCCACAAAGCTCCTATGGTGTGTTTGTTGGTCTGGATAAAGGAGCTGATTATTAGGGGGGATGGGAAGGGAGGAGATAAAGGCGGGACAATTAATGAAGTAATCACTATGTGGGAAATGTATATACACAAATAATTGGATTTTCTTGATCAAAGACCCCCATGCCGCCTGGAGACCCCGGTATTGGATGCTGTAGTCATCTGATCCTCTTTTTGTAATTAAGGATTTGTAGCAGAACCCTATGTGACAATGTGACATTGTTATCTCTGGAGATCTCCAACAGACTGTTTGATGGAGGAAAGAGACCAAAATCAAGTGACTCAACGCAAGTTCTCATCTCTGCACAATCTGCGTCTGTTTTACATTTCTAATTCGAATTAAAATGTCTTTGTTGTCCCTTTGAACTACAACACAGCATTAAACACTTAATTATGCCCTCTCTGAATTATTTAAATAACTATTTCTTCTTCACTCATTTGTTTTATCCGAACCTTACTCCCCATTTTCTCCCCTCTTTGTTGAGCATCAGAAACTGTAAGCTTCTAGAGCCTGAGGGTAAATTCCCAATAGCTAATTCAAATTAAAGACATGTTACTTAACATGACACAAAAGGGAAACCTCTGTTTAGGTGACAGAAGCAGCACATGCAAATGGTGATGTCTCAATTAAGATTTTTTTATAAACTTGTCAATACATCTAGGGGGATGAAGTTACCATTAGAATAAATCACAGGCACTCAGGCACTAAAGCAACCTAATGAAACGGAAGTAAGTGGACTCTAAAACAAAGGCTAAACTGGCGTAAAATATCATTAATAGTCCTTTTTGGTTTCAGAAGATGAAAACAAAAGTATGGACTTTTTTTTTTTTTTTTTTTTTACAAGATAATATCCAAAGTTTTGCAGCAGGGCTGCTGAAATGGAAGTTGCAGTTTTCAATATCAACCCTCTGATCTTTATCTGGCTTCCCTGCAGAAACAATCACTGTCCTCTCAACTAGTTTGGAGCGGCAGATTTTGAATTAGATCTGTTCCTTTGAAGGGATTAATGTTCCCAGTCCTCTCCCACGGCTTTACACACAGTCATGAGGGAAAGGGGGAGTCCTGCTGGGCTGAACTGGAGCCATGTTAAACTACAAAACTGGCTACAGGAGTGGTGTAGTCACACTGTAGACTGAGGGGGGAAAAGAGTGCAGATTAACCTTGTTTACATCAAGTTATGGTAGCAGTGGGAGATGAAATGTATTCCTTTTAAATGTGTGCAGTAAACAGCATGGTTGCTGCTTTGAATCATGAGCATTGTTGTGTTTAATCTGTTGTTTAGAGAAGAGAGTGTTTGTGTAGCTCTGTAATAAGTTACACCTACACGCTTCTGTTGGAAAATCATCTTAGAGAAGTCACATGTCTGCAACCTCTGAAGGCGTGGGTGGAAGTTTGTTTTGAAACAAGGTACGTTAGGGCCCTCTTTATAAACAAGTCACAATTCATTTACATGTTAACTAATCACTAATACTTAGAAAGTTCCAAGTTCCAAAGTTGTTAAAAAAATGCCAAGGAAGGCTGTACCCTCCTTTAAAATAACAAGGCAACATGTAATGTCTATTTAAACATCAGTAAGGTTCAGAACAAGTCATGATTTTCATATTTTATTTTCATTAAAAAATATTAAAAACATGATTTATGACAACACTTCATACTTGATGTGCTTTAAAACATGACAGACTAACTTTTAGTCTGTTAAGTTTATTATTCTCACATTTATCACCATCAGAAATGATCAATTCCCAAAGGAATTTTGTCACAACCTGGCAACAGAAAACAAGTTCTTATCAAAGAAGAGTGTTCAGAAATGGATTCATTTAAACAGCTGAAACTGATAATTACTGCTTTGAGATTGCACGTCATTAGTGTACATTATTTAATTTCTGAACTTTGGTTTCGAAGGATCTTGACAAAAAAAGGATCTGAAAGCAGGTAAAAAGAGAATAATAAAGCGTACCAATGGTTTATAGATCAGTGGCAACAAGTTTTGGGTTGCCAGGATGTGAAATATTCCTTTAACTGGTGTTTATCCTTTCTATTTGAGTAATTATTCAGTTACAAATGGAAGTGAAATATTCATACACACTCCGGGGTTTCTCTCTCTCACTACTGAACATTCAACTGTGCAGCATGTTGATCAGTCTTTAATAAAAGGCTTTTACTACTCAAACAGAATAAACAGCTAAATATAAAGGCAACACGATAGTTTCTTAATAACTAAGTCATAAGACATCAGTGAAGGATTTACTTAACATGTATAAAGCTTGTTACCACTCATAGATTGTCTATAAATGATGCCTTCTTAAAAAAAGAATAGGGGCCTCTGAAAAGGTGAAAACGTTGTAAAATGACTGATTGCTGTAAAATCAGTTAACTAGGTGTAACAAACTCCATCACCTGCCATCTCGGTAAACATTTGATTACTATATTCTCCAAAAGTTTGTATTTGTGCAGAGAAAAATCTGTCAGCTAGTTTTTTTTCTTCCAGGTTTAAATGTCAGATAAATGTCAAATGTTGTAATCTGCTCACTGTCAAAGCAGACGACTGTTAAAGTGAGAATCCACCTCAAATTCAGAATTCTTTTTTTTCTGATCGGGAACAGCAGCAGCCATGTGTGGATATTGAAAACAGTAGACATTAATTCTGATTTAGGGTGGATTTTCTCATAAACCAGCTTTACATGGAGGCTGTCATGCTATGCAAGGGAAAATTTTCAGCCATATATGACAACCGCATGAATTTTGTGAACCATCAGCGTTACAAAATTATTGATATCTTCCTTTGAGATACTCGGTTCAGCCCCAAAAGCAACTTCTTACATTTTAATGCATCTCAATGGGACTCAAGCTGAGGGATGGATTTGGCTGAGCAGGACTTTGATATAGTTTGTAAGAAATTCATGACTGTGGGCTCGACACAATGTCCAATCCCTGAGGTAATTTACTTGCTCCAAACCTCTACCGTCTTTTGGCCGTACCTCACAGGGTCACTTCAGCACTGGTTTTGGCTAAAAGATTTTTTTTTTTCCTGCGGCATTTGATGGGAAAATTAACTGGGAGGAACCCCCACTGCAACCGTTTTCTACCTGTACACTCAAAGGTTTGAACATGGAATCAGACTGTACCATCCGTGTATTACATACAGGACTTTAAAGCTTTAAGCAGCAGAGGGTCGATCAGAAATACTGTAACCAGGTGCAGGCACGTATGAAGCTGCATTTAGCAGAACATCTAAGAAAGTAGATTCACTCCTGAGTTATAGGAAATAAAAAAATCACACAATTTGTGACTGTAAAAGGCAGGAAATTAAAGCTGAAGGTTTTTTTTTAGTTTCCTTATATAAAAGTCAGGGCAAAACCACACGTTAGATTATTGCCATTCTTTGTTTTGGGCTCATATTTCTATTTAGATCAGACAAAAATGAACTTTCCTGACTTTAAACGGAAGAAAACATTTTGTAGAAACTCAACAGGTGACTGTCATTTCTGAGGTTACCTGAGACAAAAATGCTTCATTCAAAGCTTATTCATTTCATATTGTGCAATACTTTGTGTGCAAGTAAAGCCAGTCTGAAACAATAAAGAATATTTATTGTTGCCTGTAGAGCACATGAACAAAAGACAGATCTTTATAATCATGTTTAGAAATTGAAAAAAATAGAAAATTTTGGAACAAATCCAAACAGACTCACTTTTATGAAGCCGTGATGCTGTTGTTGTGGGTAAATGATATTCTTCTAATTATTTCATAGTTTTTTAAAGACATGAAAAAGAATAAGAAGTGAAAGAATGAGAAAAATTATACACCAAGAGTCAAAAATCACTTGTTAAAACAGATTTATTTGAGTCATATAAAACGGCAGTTCACTAGCAATAAATAAAAATGTACAATAGATGTAGATGTGAGTTCCTTTTGGTTCTGGTCCGGTTCAAAGTTGGAGAAGGCAATCTGCATTGGAGAGAGAAGGGCTCTGATCACATTCATACAGCAGTAAAATACTCTTCACAATCATTGGTCACTTATCAGATCAGTAAAGTTGGATGATTTACAATGTTTTGTATTGACCACAAATGGAACTGAGGCGCTGGAGCTGATTGTGATGTTCACATTTTGATCTCTCTGACAGTGAGGCCTGCACATTTGACAGAGTCACAACATGAACCCCTTTTTAACTTTCAATGCTCTCTGGACAGTACGCGAGAAAACAGGTTCCACATCTGTCTCATACGAGAGATATCAGCGCGTCGGGGATGAGGGTGAGAGGGGAGGAGGGGATGAGGGTGCAAGTGTGAGAGTGAGAGTGTGAGTGTGTGGGAGAGAGAGAGAGGGGAGGGGGGAGAAGGAAAGACGCTCAAGGCTACTGGGTACTTGAGCCGCTATAATGGTGTCTCGTATGAGAAAACATCTGTGAATTTCCTCAGTGATCTACAACAAAGTATAACTCAGAGCAGTCACTCAGCAGACCTTTGAAGTTGCTGTCTGACAGAAAGCTGCCATTGTTCGCAGCCCCCAACACACAGAAACTCTAACTTTGGTCTCACTAATTTTCCCTGCAATGTGATACAACCCCCCCCCCCCCCCCCCCTCTCTGTTCTGAGCCTATGAAGCTGGGGGTCTCTGCATATTCAAGAGCAAAGAGCAAAGCCTTGGCAATGTGCAGGGTTGGCCTGGGGGTCAGGTAGGGCGGGACAGGTCACTTTACCTTCCCTCAGCCCACCCTGACTGCAATAATCCAGCCCCAAAAAGTCAAACAAATCTCTCCTTCTACGATGATGTACAAGTAGTGCTCTCCCAGGACAAATTACATCAGAAAGACCCCATCTCCAATTCTCAAACATACAGAAATGCTATGAGTACAACTATCTCTAAACGCTCAGATTGTCTAAGCTTATATGGACAGGTGCTTTAAGATTT